TACCTGCGCCTTCAGAGCCAGGTCAAGAAGTACCTGCGCCTTCAGAGCCAGGTCAAGAAGTACCTGAAGTTTCTGAAGTAGATAATGAAGTGCCTGAAGTTTCAGAGCCAGTCAAAGAGGTAGCTGAAACCTCAGAGCCAGGTCACAAAGTAGCTGAAAATGCAAAACCAGACAGAAAAGTGCCTGAAGGCTCAGAGCCAGGTCAAAAAGTACCTGTAGACTCAGAGCCAGGGGAAAAGTTTATAGTAGAATCTCAAGAAGTTGCTGTTTCAGAGCCAGAAGAAGTAATTACAGAAGTAATTACTACTCTAGGTATTGAAGAGAAGGACCTTGAAGTTTCAGAGCCCAAGGCAGAAGCAGAAGAAAGCACCGTCAAAGATCTGACAGAAGAAGCACTGCATGAACAAACCAGTGTTTTACAACCAGAAGAGGAAAAAGTAAAAATTACAAAAGAGATTAAAAAAATGGATGAAAATGTAATTCCAACTTTGCAGCCTAAGCCAAATGTGGAGGATGTTAAAGAACCACAGGAAGAGTCACAACTCACAGGTGTAGAAGATGTTTCAGAACCAAAAGGAGGGGTGGTTGATGCCACAGGATCAGAAAAACTAGTGCCAGAGGCCTCTGAACCTGAAGCAAAAGTAATTGAGGAAAAGCCAGCAGAAGAAGAGGTTTCTGAGGGTCCAGCACGAGATGATAAAGATGTCGAAAGAAAGGAGGAAGAGGTTTTGCAGGTAGAAAAAGTTAAACCTCCAGCAGAAGAAACTGCAGAACCAGAAACTGCACTGACAAGGGAAACCCAAGTGCCCAAAGTAACAGAAATGGCACCTGTGGAAGTTGGGACTGCAGAATCAGAAAAGGAGCAAGAAGAAGTACCAGAACCGACTGAGTCGGTGGTAGAGATGAAAAAGGTACCATACGAACCATTACCTGGGAAAGAATCAGAAGTACTGGATGTAACTGAGGTCCCACTACCACAATCTGAAGAAGTCGTGGAACAAGTGAAGGTTGCTGAAAGCCCAAAACCAAAAGAAGCTTCTCAACCGGTCAAAGGCAAAGCTGACAGTTTAACACCAGAGGAAAAGCTACCAGAAGTCTCAGAGCCAGAATCTAAAGAAGAGGTAATAGAGGAAGTCCAACAATCAGAAGGGGAGCATCTTCATGGCCTAGAATCGGATCCAGGTGAGGGGGTAGTAGAGATGTTAGAACCAGAACCTAAAAAAGATGCTACTGAGCCACCTGCCGAATCAATTAAAATCCTGCACCCCTTGGATGGTGTGGACAACCTTCCTTTTGGAGAGGATGGTGTTCAGGTCATTGAAGATAAAAACCTCCTGTATCCTGTCAGAACTGACTATCATCACCCAGCAGAGGAGCATAATTTACCCATCATACCAGTCCAGCCTTCCAGCGAAGATGTAGGCGAACCTGACCGTGACTATCCCATCATTGATAATTTTTACAACGAGGAGGATGTAGAGAGTGTAGACGCTCAGGTGGAGCATGAAGCCGATTCCACCACAATGACAGAAACGACAAAAGGCGATTCACACTCGGAGGCGATCTCTCACATCACAGGTGAGCAGGTGTGAAGAGCAGTGTTGGGGTTGTTATTCAAAAAAGTACTTTATTAGACATAAATTTTTTACTTTCCTTAAAAGTAATGCAGTACTTTACTTAATTACTCGCCGGAGAAAGCAGTTCGCTTCACTACACTACACTACTTGTTACATTACTTTAGTGTTCCTTTTGTAAAACCTATAAAGAGTATAATATATGGGAGAATTACAGTAATTATAAATGAGATGGAAGTGAGATGATTACATGTTTTCTGATGGATTGATTATATAATTTTAGACCCGTGTGCAAACCAAAATGTGATCTCCCTACATTTCAGTGCAGACTGTGCAATGTGTCTGTGCTGCATGAAAAGTTGTGGGTTATTTTTTGATTATTAAAGAGGCCATCAGATGGATCTTTTCTGTAAGATTTTATCTTAGTGCAGAAGTGAGGATTCTGCATTAGCTGTATGAATTTATTATGTATGTATACAGGCACATTTTGGTAATTTGTTGAAATCCTTTGTGAGCACTCATGACTTAATTAATCCTTTTTGCCTGAAATTTCAAAGAAGTGACAGCTGCAGACACGACAGGCACATCAGAGGGCACAGAAGCCACTGAAGAGTTGCCAGAGGAGACACAAAAAAGTAATTTATCCCCAGAAACAGACATCAGTGTGACAGCACCACCAGCTTCAGACTCACTGCCTACACCTCCGGCAGCTTCTGTCGATGTTTCTGAAGTGTTTTTACCCGTCCCAACAATTGACTCTGGACTCTTTGAGGTAGCAGAGGAATCTGAAGTCCCCATTGTTACTGAGTCTCCTGAGGGTGATAGCGCTGAGCCGGAGGTGGAGTCAGAGCAAAGCGAGCCAGCTGTCGTCATTATTGATGAAGACTTGGGAGGCTACACAAAAAAAGAAGACGGAAGCCCCACCACCCCGCCGGATGCTACCGAAGACATGGTGGAAGAAGCTGTGCAGGACCTGGCTGTGGAGCTGGATCAAACCAGTGTGGTGGCCACAGACCCAAATGAGCTCCTGGAAAAGGGAGAAGAGGGGAGTGGCTTCCTGTCTGTGCAGGAGGAACACAGGACCATTGTCACCACGGCCGCACCTCCACTGAGATACCTCACCACTCCCACCATGACCACGGCCAGCCACGGCCGGGAGCTGGTGGTGTTCTTCAGCCTGCGCGTCACCAACATGGACTTCTCTGAGGACCTCTTCAACAAGACTTCGCCTGAGTACAGGTCCCTGGAGAACACCTTCTTAGACGTGGTGAGTTGGAATGCAACCTGCATCCTTCTTTAGGGTTCTTTATTCTGCTGGTTTGTCTGGTTTAAAGGGTCATTACATGTTGTTTGCAAAACTGTCACACCTCTGGGAATATATCAGCAATCACCAGTTAGTGGATTACAGCTGTTTAAGTAAAAATATATTTAAAGCTTTACGTACTGCAGCATTTCTCAAACTGTGGGACATGAGCCGCTGCAGGTGGGGCGTCGATAACCAGCTGAAAAATACAAATGGATGGAAAATTAATAAAACTGTGGGTAAACCTGAGGGTACTGCTAACCTTGGGCCTTTGCTTTTCTTAATGACTGATAAAACATGTTCAATGTGCTGAGTAAACTTGGATGAACTAGCTATGATGATGCAGCCCTGTCTGCACCAGCCTGTCTGTGAAAGTGGCCATGGCAATATTAATGCATAGCTTTAAACCTCGATGTAACTCAAACAGGAGAGTTGAATAAAAGGTTTTCTCCACTATTGTTGTTCTGAAGGAGGAAACCATCTATAGAGGCCAAAACAGTTTTTTGTATTAATTCAATTCAATTCAATTCAATTTTATTTATATAGCGCCAAATCACAACAAAAGTCGCCTCAAGGCGCTTTATATTGTACAGTAGATACAGA